ATAACTTGGATTGGGAGGTTTTTGTTGCTGGGTTTACAATGCCACTTGCTTCATTGAACCGGCGCATCAGCTGGACCTGTATGTTCAGAGAAAGAAGCCAGTTCTTTGGGCTTCTCTCGTATAAGTCGGACAGTTGCAGCATGTATTGCTGCAACTGTCCGACTCCACCGTTTCCACCTTAGTCGAAGGGACAGTGAGGTGATTGTCTATGCTACCCTGCATTTCCCGGCGACTGAGAGGGCGTGTCTCCGTGCTCCACTTGAACGCGGTGGCGTTTCCGCTGTTGGTGGGATATTACTGTTTTGGGACAACTGTAATCATGTCTTTGTTCAGCATAAGGCAGGATAATAACTGAGTAACGGAATACCCCAAGGAAAGTGAATTATACGCCGCAAGATGTTGCAGTGAAGAACGCAGGCACGCCCTCCCAGCTCCGAGATATGAACTGTACTTCTCGAACAACCCAATAATTAGTAGAATGAAGGGGAAGTGAGGAGTGAGCAAGTAGGTGGGGTGTCAAAACTCGATGCTGATTTTCTTGCGCTTTCTTCATTTCCAAAAATATTTTATTTTGTGCTCACTAACGTTTGAATTACTAGTTTTGAAGAGAAGATTATGGAAGGAGAAGTTCATATAAGTAAGACACAGAGTCGGCGCAGTTCGGCGACGGGGGGGGCATTTTGCACTTTCACTGCTTCACTACTTCCGGTTTACAAGTCTCACTCTGGTGAAACTTGTGAACTCTTGTGAAGCTGGAGCAAGCTCGTCTAGCCACCATGGTAAAACGTGTCAACTCGAGAAAAGGCTATCTAGATGGGTCGACATCTATGGAAAGCAAGAATGCCCTCCCCCCCCGTCGCCAAACTGCGTCCACACAGATATCGAAGTTTCAATCAAAAGTTCCGATAGTGCTTTGATTTTCCATAAACACTCTCTTAATTCAGGTCTGTCGGTTGCTGTTTGCATAAAATATGCCGACAATATTGCTAAAAACTTCGCCACATCGGTCGCCATCATATTGGCGACAATCGGTTCGATGGTGTTCTTCAGTTTCCAGCCGTCGGCCGTATTTACTTTGGGAGCAGCACTAGTCATATTTAGCATCTTTATGTATTCATCGTCGCAATCTCTATTTACGGCAGTCCGGCGGGTGATGAAGACCGAACTGTTTGCATAGGTTTAATTCGATTGAATTCCGCCTTTTTGCCCACATACTATTGTCTGGGTGAATTCCGTCTTTTTGCCCACATACTATTGTCAGGGTCTTTCGCATTTTTCCAGTGAATGTCCTTACCTTCTTTTTCGTTTATTTCATTTCAAGCAGAGCTTCCGGGATGGCGTCATAGAGATCGAATATTACGATGTGGTTCTCACACACTAAAATGCACGGCTGTTTGCTCGCAACAGCCGATCGTTTGTCTCGTCTGTGGCTGATTGCAATAACAGAGCACCTCCCACTCCTTTCTGACCCCTCTTTGACAAAGGGCAATATTTGCTTGACTTTTGTTAGATTTTTTGAATTAGAGCATTAGACTTTTCAGAGCTGGTGAATCAGGTGGGGTATGACTGTTGTCCTTGTTTGAGTAAAGTGTAGTCTCTTTTGGATCCCTAAGCAACAACTCGCACTGCCGTTCATGCCTCATTATTGTGCCAACCCGCTTACTTCTAGCCTTTCTTTCAGCTGTTCGGTGGAACTTCTAGGGCTATCCACTTCCCTTGGCGCTAGGGCACAAATGTTCATCTATCAGAGCTTTCAGCCAAATCATAGCCCTTCCTCTCTTGCGCATTTTGTCAGGAACAAATTTTCAGCAACTCGACATCGTGGCTTTCCGGTGGTGGGTTTCTAAAATAGATTGAAGAATCAAAATAACTTTCGTGGTGTTTCTGCAACCACAGAGGACTTTATTGTTGAAATGTGGTCCCTTCAGAAGCGGTGAACTCAACCACATCCATGTTCCGCGTAAGGCTTCAGTTCGATCGTCGCGTTTAAAAGGGAGGGCATTTCAATCGTGTTCATAGCCGCATTAAGAATGTTGAAGTATAGTTCCTGTTGCCATCTCATGGAATAATTGCGTGCTAAATGTGACGCTGACGATGACTCGAGACGTTTAACGACAGCGTCTTTACATCGTTGAAACGGTGTTGTCGGCTGCTCTTTTGCGATCCTCAGCCGGCGGGACCAGGATATGAATTCCCACTTCTGGGTGCAGCCAGGGATTCTTTGTAGGTTTTAGCGTATTTGAGGTGAGGGTTACGTTCCTGTTCTGGTTTGTGTTATTTTTCTAAATTACCTGGTCGAGCTAGTATGCCCTCTTAGCCAGCGTTCAGACTTCGCGTCGACGCGCTACTGGCAACGGCGCTTCAATGCTGGAGAGCGAATGAGTCTGGTATGATCGGCATTCTCCTGTTATCTTATGCTCTCTCGAAACGCAAGCGACCTGCGCTGATCGATTGCCATCTGCGGCTGCGTTCGCATTTATAAGAGTGGAGCGCTCGTTCAATAGTAGCGCGTTGACTCGCGCCATCGCGAAGTCTGGACGCTGCCTTAGAACAACGATTGCTTGAAACCGGATACTTTGAATGGTAAACCGCCTTAGACCAGTGGGGTGCACAAATTTAGGCAGAGATGTCCTTCCACTACAATACGAAAGGGTTTTTAGACTCTTCCTAACCCATAAGAAAAAGCGGGATTTACTCTTTTCAGGTTATTTACGGTGTCCATCCCTCTGTTGTAGTGAGGAATTCCCATTGTAAGGCGTGCCTCACCGAAACTCTTTCTACAGATAGTGACTGCCCACGTCCCACTGTTACAACTCCTGGCAAAAGGGTGAAACGATTATACCTTAGGTCCTGTCCCTCTGCTCTCGCTCGCTTCCATCGGACCGTAGAGGCTGTCTTTTCAATTACTATTTACTTTTTCTTTTCTAGATCATCTTTGTATGGAAAGAGAGGGTTTTCTGCATAACTATTTTCAATATTGTGATTGCATATTGATCCCGTGAGATTTCTTTCACGCAAGCGGTTATTTTCAGCAGTATTACATTTTGTTGGGTCTGCTGTAGTTGAGAGGGTTGAGATGCGAGTTGCTGTGCGCTCTGAGACGAGGCTCCAGCGATTCCATCTCCTCCAAGGCTGAGCATCTGGAGCAGAAGGGTTTGTTATGCTGCCGCCATCCCCTCAACTGCAGCAATTCCTTTTTGATTTCTTGCTTTATGGAGAGGAGCCTTGTTCTCTGAAACACCTATTCTCAACTGGGTGCCATGACGAGAAAAGGCTACTCTTGGTTTCTTATGGTTTCTTTCTGCTGTGTTGCTGCATTTAATCCATCTGTGATACATTTTGTTAAGCTGTGATGGGAAGATGATATTGCCTTTAAGAAAAGTGCGTACATATTGTACACTGGTACCGTATTGCAAATTATGTACTGATTGAATTTCTCGAGCTGTTTTGTTTGATATCTTCAGATTCGTGAGTGGAGTAAAATTTTATAGATGTAGTGTGTTCCCTTTCGCAGCACAGGCACTGTGCACTCGGTACAGTGAGATTCCAGCTTTTATTTGCTTCCGCTCTTTTGTTCCTGTTTTTTTTATGAATTTTTAGTGATTACTCGTTAAGTTGTCCGAAAAAAACGCTTCTCGCAAACTGAAGTGTACCTCGGTGCGTGGGGGGTCTTCGGCGGTGGTTGTAGCCGTCAGCTATGTTCGACTTAATTTAGAGGAAGATGATGAGAGAAGACTGAGTTGTAGGCAGGTATCTTATTACTGCATGAACAACGTACTGTCGTTAGACTGCTTTTATACTTTGTGGCGGTGTTCACCAGCTACCATCAGTTTCCAAGATGTGGGAGTGCTACACTTACATATACTATTGCACACCTTGCATATGGATAAGGTTCCCTAGGTGATCCTGCAAGATGTCTTCAAGGGTGAAAGCGGCCCAGATAAAATAATTAACCTCTGGGCCTCACCCCTTCGCCGCAATCCGCAACATAGCAGCTCGCGCTGCATGTATGTACGCTTCTACGGCTTGATTTCGAGGCGGTCAATGAGAAGACAGGGAATCCTGAGTCTCACCGGCTTTGTTGTCTACTGTGTTTTATTTTCGACAGCCCCAATTCATTTCAAGTGTTTGCCGTAACAGGAGGTCTCCCAGTCATTTCGCGCATAGAGATGGAAGTGTTGATAACCTTCACTCCTATATACTTTCCTTTGCGCGTCGTATAGTTTATAGCAGGTCAGGGGGACTTCGATCTGAATTATATATTTCAGAGACGGTGAAAATTCTTTGTCAAAATTCCCGGTAGCTTTCAGAATGATGTAGTCCAGCAAGCTATGTGTAGTCTAGTACGCTGCGGACGAAGGGGCATGTCAGGCGGGATGCATTTGGCGCGGTGCCACCCGTTCTCCACCAGTATTTGAAGCGAGCAAGAGACAAGACTATACCATATCGTATCACTCGTTCTCTACCAATCGCTGTCGCACACCCGCTTCAAGAACTAGCTGAGAACCGGTTTGGCACTGAGGCACATTCATACACTGCCCGACACGCCTCTTCATCCACAGCGAACTAGTGTAAACCGCCCCTTCTTCGGAACTGCTCGATTATCAGGGCACATCGTTGTTGGGGAATTCCCAATGGGGGTGGGAGGGGTCGTATTTGGCCGCCAGGAGAGGGGGGTCGTATTTGGGCTGGGAAAAATTTATTTTGATAGTTGATTTTCTCGCTTCACGGACGTTGTAAATGGGGGGGGGGAGGAGGAGTCGTACTTGGTCATTGTTGGAGGGGGGTCCTATTCAACGTTTTGGCGTTGTAGGAGTGGTGATTGACTTTTGGTGATTTTCCTGTTTCATGCCTACTATACCCCCCCTCCCCCCCCCGCTCGATGGCTCGATTCCACGAGGGGACAGAGCGCCCGGAGGGTGGGGGTCGTACCACCCCCCCCCCCCAAAAAAAAGGTGGGGTCGCGCAGACTCGACTATAATCCCCAACAAATGATGTGCCCTGTCGATTATGTAAAGCTCCTCTATGAGAATTCCTCAATCGCGTCATGCAGTGTCTTTGGCCACCCTCATTCACGTTCTGCTGCTGCAAAAAGTCCCACAAACCAGCATGAAGCTCTTCTAACACGACAGTTTGAAAGTACACCACAGCTGCAAACTATAGCTTGCAGGTGGCTTGTCAAAAAATTTCAAAATAAACTTCACAGCACGCAGATTGCGAAAGAAGCAGAATCTATGAGAAATTTCGAATTGCTAAGTAGTGTCAAAGGAACAAGCAAAACCAGTTCAAGTCGTCTTTTTCAAGATCGTCTTTCTCGACGGGAAGGTCTATTTGTCATAGGCCACGAACCATTTCCGTTCTCCCCTAATACAACGTGCGGTGATTGTATCGTCGTTCAGAACGCCTCGAGTTTGCGACCGCTGATCGATGTCCTTTCGTCAAATGAGAATTGCCTTTTTGACTATAAAATGGCAGAATGTGGCCTAATTGATGTACGAGAGCATGGGTCAGCCTGAAGACGCGATCCAGCAAATCTCTAACATATTCATCGCGTCAGGGGTATAAAGCCTTCCGTTATGGGATATATAAAAGACCACGCCGGTCATTACTCGAAGGATCTGATTATTGAATGTTAATGCTAAGCGAACTTTTGCCCATTCGTGTTCTGTTGGGAGGTACCCAATTACCGCCTGACCCAAATGGGTTTCTCGAAAGACTGGCATACTAGTTTTAGGAAGTATCAGTTGTAGGGAGTCGTTCCATAGACGGTGTGTCCTTTTCTGAATGTGCATGAAGATCTCTTCGATTTTGAATAAAGTATGAATGCATGGCGCATCCTAGACAGTGCCGTGCACATTCTCATGTCAGACTGTCATATCTACAGTGTTGTGGAGAAAATTTTCTGCTCATTCCTCCAATAGCCGTCTTGAAATATTAGGTTGGCGGAAAGATCTTTCACTTTTTTCAAATTGGGCTTTCTTTTTATAGAGAGGCGTGTAAGATCAAAATTGTACAGCAATGCTACTGCGGGGTCCTTGCCTGTTTTTGAGCACCTCATGGATGCCATCGCTTCACAATGCAGGGAGGCGCGATACAAAGTTGGACATCATCTCAATCTTGGCTTGAACTCAGACTTTCGAGGTTTTCTCGTAATTTCTCGTCCAGTAATGATTGATT